AATGACTCAAGTTTATCCTTCTTTATGGCAGAGTAGTATCCACTGTATATAAATACATTTTCTTTATTCATTCATCTATTGATGGACATATAGGCCACTTCCAAGATTTAGCTGTTGTGAGCCATGCTGCTATAAACATGGGTATGCAGGTATCACTGTAATATTATATCTTTTAGTCTCTCAGGAAGATACCTAGAAGGATAATAGCTGAGTTGAATGGAATCTTTACTTTTATTTTTTTTGCACATGGGTGGCCCCTGTCTGGCCCCAGGAAAATAGTAACAGTTTGTCCCTCTACTTTTAGTTCTTTGAGGGATCTCCCTACTGATTTCTATAATGGTTGTATGAGTTTTAAATTCTCACCAACAATGTATAAGGGTTCCTTTTTCCCCTGAAGTCTGGCCAGCATTAGTTAATTATTTGATTTCTTGATGATAGCCATAATCCTGGAGTAAGATGGAATCTCAGTGTTGTTTTAATTTGCATTTCTCTAATAGCTAGAGATGTTGAACAGTTTTTCATGTATTTACTGGCCATTTGTACTGCTTCTTCTGAGAAGTGTCTATTTCAGTTGCCCAGTTTTTGATTGGATCTTTTATTTTGGGGGTGTCTAAGTTTTGAGTACTTTGTAATATTCTAGATATTAGTTCTCTGTCTAAGGAATAGCTGGCAAAAAAAAAGAATTTCCCATTCTGTAGGTTATCTCTTCACTTTGTTAGTTGTTGCCTTTGCTGTGCAGAAGCTTTTTAATTTAATAGGTCCCTTTTGTTGATTTTTGGTATTAATTCTCATGCAATTGGAATTCTGTTCAGCAAGTCCTGGCCTACATCTGTCTTCAGGAGTTTTACCTATTTTATCTTTCAGTAGATTACATGTTTCTGTTTTAACATTTAGATCTTTGATCTGTTTTGATTTTAGTTTAGTACATGGTGAGAGATACGGGTCTACATTCAACCTTTTGTGTATAGCCAGTTGTCCCAGCACCATTTGTTAAAGAGGCTGTCTTTCCTCCAATGTAAGTTTTTGGCCCCTTTGTCAAAGATCAGGTAGCTGAATGTGCCTGGAGTTGTTTCTGCATTGTCTATTCTGATTTATTCATCAACATGTCTAGTCTTTTTATTTTTACATAATACCATGCTATTTTATCACTGTGGCTTTGTAATATGACTTGAAGCTTGAGATTGTGATACCTCCTGCTTTGCCCTTCTCACTAGGGTTGTTTTTGCTATTCTGTGTCTCTTCTGGTTCAGTATAAATCTTAGGATCGTTTTATCTAGTTCTGTGAGTAATGCTGTTGGTATTTTGATTGAGATTGCATTAAATTCATATGTCAGTTTTGGTAATGTGGGCATTTTGGCAATATTGATTCTGTCTATCCAGGAACAAGAGATATCTTGCCATTTTCTGATGTACCCTTTGCTCTTCTTTTTCAGAGTATTGTAGTTTTTATTATAGAGGTCTTTTACTTCCTTGGTTAGCTTAATTCCTAAGTAATTTTTCTTGATGCTGTTATGACTGCTATTGATTTCCTAATTTCTTCTTGATGGGTTATTATTGGTGTACAGTAATGCTATTGATTTTCGTGAGTTGACTTTGTATCCTGCTATGGTACTGATTTTGATTATTAATTCTGAGTCTTTTCATGAAATTTTTTGGGTCTTCTGTGGATCATGTTATATGCAAGTAATGATAATTTGACCTCTTCTCTTCCTATACATAGCCCTTTTATTTCTTTCTCTTGCCTAGTTACTCTGGGTAATGTATTTCTTATAGAATAACCCTGTGAGTGAAGAATTCTCTCTGTTTCTGTTATCTGAGAATTTTTAATTTTCTCCTACATTTATGAGTGTTAGCCTTGCTGGATATAGAATTCTTTGTTGACCTTTTGGTTGTTGTTGTTGGTTCAGTGATTTGGCTTCTAGTTTCTGACGAAAAGTGAGCTGATAGTCTCATTATGTAATGATTTGCTTTTTCTTGCTAACTGCAAGACTCTGTCTTTTGCTTTTGACAATTTGACTTTTTGTAGGTGTGGATCTCTTTGTGGTTATCCTAGTCAGAGACCATTGATCTTTTTGGATGTGCACATTGTCTTTTTTTAATCAAATTTGGGAAGCTTCTGACTATTCTCCAAATTTTTCTGTTCCATTCTCTCCTTCTGAGAATTTTTCATTTTGTGTATTTTGGTATGCTTCCACAGTTCTTTAAGGATCTATTCATTTTTCCGCATTCCTTTTTCTTTTCATCCTTCAAACTGTGTAATCTCAATTGACTGTTCTTAAATTTGTTGGCTCATTCATTTGCCAATTCATATCTACTTATTGAGCCTTTCTAGTGAATTTTTTATTTATTTTATTTTCACCTCTTGGATTTCTGTTTTATGTTTTATAATTTCTCTGTTGTTCTGTATTTGGTAAGATAGTCTTATACTTTAGTTAAGACATGATTCTCTCATTTTAGTTCTTTGAACATATTTATAATAGTTGATTTAAAGTCTTTGTCAATAAGTCTAATATCTGGGCTTCCTCGAGGACAGTTTCTATTGAGTAATTTTTTTTCCTGTATATAGGGCAAACTTTTCTGGGTTTTTTTGCATATCTCATAAATTTTTCTTGAAAATTAAATATTTAAAAATAATATAATGGGGCAATTCTGGAAATCAGACTACTTCCTTCTCTTTAGGTTTTGTTGTCATTGCTGGTAATTTTGGCCTAGTGACTTACCTACGCTAACTTCTAAAGTCTCCATTCTTTTTTTTTTTTTTGCATTTCAATAATTTTATTGAAAGGTATATCTCTTAGTGCCAAACATAAAAGTAGTTGGTTAGGTTACCTCTGCGAACTCAAAATTAATACTTATATTTTCAAAATATTGAAATTTATCAGCCTTATGGTAAAACTGAAGGTATCCACAAAACATGGTCTACAAAAATTTAGAGGTAGAATATACTGTGGTTCTTTGGTCTATTTTTCAATGCTTAGTTATCTGTAACATGATGTCAAAATTAGTTACATCCATTCTGGATAGACTCAGGCTTCAGGCTGCACTGTTTACAACACTAACAATATATGTACATTTCCTTATATTAATTGGCTCATATGGAGAATTCCAAACACTACCTCAGCAATCTCATAATTACAGTGGTGCCTCCTTATAAAGTCTCCATTCTTTGTTGTATGTGCTATTGAAGGCTGCTCTGTGAGCTTAGTGGTAAGCTAATGACTATATGCCTGGAACCAGTGCATCTCCCAGCCTTTCCCAAGAGATTCTTTGGGTGTGTTGATCATAATTTAAACATTCTTGAAGTGGCAGTTTGTAAGTCTGCTGTGTATACACTCTCAGAGTCAGCCAGAGATGAAAGATGAGGGCCTTCACAGGTCTTCCCTGGGCTTACATATAGCCCTGCACATGTCCTTCCAGCCCTGTGTCTTTCTAGATTCCCAGGAATATATCAGTGTTTTTCAAAGTCCCCTATTGGACATCTTATCCAATTTTTTTTTCTTTTAAACTTTTTGTTCAGCCTTTTCTTAGTCCCAACTGGTAATGCTACCTGCAGCTACAAAGTTAAATAATTACTAATGCTTTGTTTTGGGGGTTTTTTTTTGTTGTTTTGTTTGGTTTTGTTACCAGCACGTGCCCTACAATAGGGTTGTTCACACAGAGAAATCTCTGATTCAGGTCAGATAGAGACAAGCCCAGAAATTGCTTTTCAGTAAGGCTGGTAAAATAGTAATAGTTCTCTGGAAATGGGGATTTGAAGAGCTCCAAAGCTACTGTGCCCCCTCCAGTGACTTCTAAGCTGCTGGTTTTAACACCTACTGTAGTTGTGAAGTTGTTAGTTTTCAAGGCTACTGTGAAAATGGGTTGAAAGGAAACATATTAGAACAAGTTAAAATGCCACCAAATTTGTCCTTCTTTCTTGGGATTCAGCTGTTTTTCTTGAATAAACATTCTTTGGAGTGTGGTAAGCCTTTAATTTCCAGAGTTTTGAAACTTAATTTGCACAATCTTTGCTAGTGTTTTTAATGTTAAAGAGTGAGTTGGTGGAGGTCTTTCTTGAGTCATCCTGGAACTTCCCTTCTATGATGACTTACAAAATACTTTGTAAATTATCTGGCTTTTCCTAGTTATCCTTGTAGGAACACTTTCTTTCCTTAGTTTACTACAGTACCCAGAAACATCATAAGTCAAGAGTTAATTTCATGTTTGTTCAGCCCTGTCTAGCAGACCATACACCAACTTTTCAAAAAGCATTAGTATATTATAAATAAAAAATAAGTATAGACTAGATTCTGAGGTAAACAAATCTCTATGTGGAAAAAGATTATTTGGAGCTGACCATGGTGACACAGAACTGTAAATAATCCCAACACTTTGGGAGGCTGAGGCAGGAAGATTGCAAGTTGGAGCCCAGAATGGACAGCTTGACCACTTAGTGAGACCCTGTCTCAAAATAAAAGAGTGGAAATGTAACTCAGTGCAGAGTCCCTGGATTCAATCCTCAGCACTGGTATACATAATTTTTTCACTATGAGATAGATATATATATATATATATATATATATATATATATATATTTAATATTAGAATATATATAAGACTTGAAGCTTCTGTATCATTAAATGAATATGAAAAAACAATTATTTCTTTAGAAATTATTTTTTTGCAGTGCTAGCAATCATAGAGATCAGACCCAAGACTTCATCTGTGCTAGGCAAGTGCACTACCATCAAACTGCATCCTCAGCACTCTTTCCTTAGAATTTAAATGCTTTAATTAATTGAAGAAATTACATTACTAATCATTCACTGAAATATCTTTTGCCTACTGGTTTTGTAGTCCATGATTAAAAATAAAACTCAAGTGCAGTCAGGAACTAGATTGCTAAAAGTTATTTGTTGAAGTGACGGTGTGCAAGTGATTTAGAAAGAGAACTATCTCTTGCAAATTATATGAAAATGCTTGAGTAATTATTTGTAACAGACACCTTTTTAAAAAAACAGTGAAAGAAGAAATACCAGAAAAGCAGAGCATCAAACGATCTGAACCTATACCTTGTGTCATTCCTATCTCTGCTAAACAGCCCAAAACAGTGCATGTTTGGAAAGGTAAGTAGCTTTACATGACCCAAGACTGGGAAGAAAAGTTCCTCCACTACCAATTATATATGCTCTTAGAGGCGGGAATTTAGCTCAGTGGTGCCGCCGCCTGCCTGGCAAGTACAAGGTTCTAAGTTCGATCCCCAGTACAAAAAAATAAAAGAATTATATATGGTGTTGGAGGTTAGGGAAATATATTTGCCCAAGTAAATTTGGCAGTGAGTCTACTACTTTGGCAGCTTGGGCATATAGCATTCCCTTCAAAAGAACACAACTGTCGTTTTTCCCTAGATTAAAAAGTATTGTAATAACCTTTTTCATTCAGCTTTGTATTGCTTAAAAACTGATAGAAAGAACAGAAAAACTCAGTACCCTTCTCCAGTAAAAGTGTTTACTGTTCAAGTAGTAAGCAAATGTTAGAAACCAACTGTGTGATCATATATACCAGGTAGTTGTGAAGAACTACATTCCTAAGAGCAAATGCTTTTGTGAGATCTTGATAGACTTGGTGGAAAGACTTAACAAGAGGTACTAAATCACCATGAAAATATAGATGATGTCATGGAATTAATTTGGATTTCAACATAGTATCCATTATTATAAATGATGAGTAGGGAATGGCCATATACTTTAGGATAGAAATTTATAGTTCAGTGTAACATAAATTATGTGAAGTATTGTTGGAAATGGTATTGTTGACCTTTTAATAGTATTTGAGTTGTATGTTGAAGGTAATCCCCTTTGTGTTTTCCCCTATAGAAGAACCATTGTCTCCTGAGGGAAAAGACATGCCCAAAGAGGAAGAGCTTAAAAAATTGAAGAATTCATCATTAAATTCAGAAGATTCTTTGAATGCTACCTGTAGCGATCTTACATATACGTCCGTCCATAGGGTTTTTTCTCAAAATGAGCCAGGCACCTCAAGTTCAACACTAGCGGAGACCAAATCGTCTACCATGAGCAGTTACTGTGAAGCTAAATTCCAAATGCAGAGGAAAAATGAAGGTATATTTAAAAAACTAAGCCAACATGCCTATCTTTCCCCTTGACGTTTCCACACCCAGCAGCATTCTCTTAAAAGTGTATCATACTGCAGAACGTGCCACAATTTGGGAGGCCAGATTCTTTCCTTCACATCTCTGTTAGGACCAAACCATTATGGATGCTCTAGTACTCGTAGCATCACAGAACGAAAAAAAAAAAAACATTTAGGATGAAGGGTATAGCTCAGTGGTAGAGCTTGCCTGGCATGCACAAGACCCTGGGTTCCATCCCCAGCACTGCAAAAGCAAACATTTAATCAACCATAAAACTGTAAATGTGGGCAATTTCCGTTGAATTTAGCTACTAAAATAAACCTGATTTATACAGAGAAGGGAGAGCAGTTAACAGAATGAGAGAAATTCATTGCAACAAAGTAAGAGAGTAATGAGTTAGGTTAGATTAACCTAATTTAACCCTAGTTACAGATCTTTTACTGTATTTGCCTGAGGCCAAATAGGCCTTAGATTGCCTTTTGGTTTTTTGTGGTCTTTGAATTTTTAAGGGAACTTCTGAAGCTGCTTCTACTATTTGGAGGAGGTCAGATGGGATGTTCTTGTGCAACTAGCTATCCACAAATTGTCTTTATAGGGGCCAGGGATTTAGCTCAGTGGTTTCGCTGCCTGCTGTGCAAGCGCAAGGACCCGAGTTCGATCCCCGATACCAAAAAAAAAATTGTCTTTATATAGGTTGTCATTAGATTGCACAGTTGGAATCTTGAGTCCTTGCTTGGTTACTTAAGAGAAGGTTCTGGTAATGAGGCCATTACTCTCTACCTAACATCTCTTCTTTCAGGATAATGATCAGGTGAAATATGATTTGTTCTTGGGCTGGGGATTTAGCTCAGTGGTTCTGGCGCCTGCCTCGTAAGTGCAAGGTCCCGAGTTCGATCCCCGGTACCAAAAAAAAAAAAAATATGATTTGTTCTTTTACCCCCATTGAAGCTCCAAGTTATATAGCTGTACCTGACCCCAGTGTCCTAAAACAAGGCTTCTCTAAGGACCCTTCAACCTGGTCTGTGGATGAAGTGATACAGTTTATGAAACATACAGATCCTCAGATATCGGACCCCCTCGCTGACCTCTTCAGGCAACATGTAATGTATTTTTTGATCTGGTTTTCCTGTTTCCATAATGCCTTTGAATGACCTCTTTGCTGGCCTTTCCATTGGATACTGAGTGTGTGAATGGAACCCTACCAACTGATTTTTCCATTTGTGAAAAGGTTATTTTGCCCAACATTAGATCTTTAAATGGAAGGTTAATGATGTGTTCTTTACAAAGGGTATCCAGGACCAGAGATTTAGCTCAGCGGTGCCTCCGCCTGCCTCGCAAGCACAAGGGCCTGAGTTCCATCCCTGGTACCAAAAGGGCGGGGGGTAGGGGTGGGGATAATGCCTTTTTTGCCTAATGACTAAATAATCTCAAGTTCTTAAGACATGATGATTCAGCATCACTACCCTCAGGTGGCCACCCTTTTTGTAATGACAGGTACAAGAATCCTCCCCCTCCCCAGACTGGTCCCTGCTTGGCCTAGGACCATGAGTAGGAGAGGGTGATCACAAACTTAACAGGGTGGCCTTCTTGTTATAGTACCTAATAAATCCAGCAATTGTATAAGATTAAGTGCATCTTTGTTTTAAACAAATTAATGAATACCAAATAAGGCTTCCATAACATAAATTAGTTAATAAAGTTGATAAAGAATGTTCGGAGGGGCTGGGGATTTAGCTCAGTGGTTCTGCCGCCTGCCTCGAAAGTGCAAGGTCCCAAGTTCGATCCCCGGTACCAAAAAAAGAATTTTAGAAGGATACCTTGTGACTATTAAGCAATATTTTCTTTGTTTTCTAACAAATCAAATTAGCAATCTAATATCTGATGTATTCTTTTTAATAGTGTTAAGAGTGGTAGTTTTAGCATCTAACCAAATTCCGACAACTATCTAATCAGCTTTTACATAAAGATAACACTATATAGCATGTTTATAGTTTGCATTGATGTTGGCATATTCCTAGACCTTTTTAGAAAGTTAATGACCATCTGAGATTCATTTCTATCATTCATAGTTGTTGACCCTTTGTTATAGATATATAGTATTTTATTCAACATACAGTATTTAACCATTTACCAGTCCAATTATTTAAATATAGGAAGACCAAAAATTACATGTTTTTGTTAACTTTTATAAGCTAATATAACAGGAAATATAAAAATGACAATTTTATCAAATTTATTCAATACAAGAATCTACTAGTTGAAATGACACCTGCCTGAGCAACGCTTGGGATAGTCAGTAGGTAAACAAATACACTGCCTCAATGACATTTGGGGTAAACTGTTAAGTGGTTGAAATCAGCTACTTTCTTAGGACATTCATCAAAGATACTATGTTAAATTTCCTCTTAAAATTCGAAGAAAATTGATAAATTATAATTTTCTTGTCTTTGTAGGAGATTGATGGGAAAGCTCTGCTTCTACTCAAGAGTGACGTGATGATGAAGTATATGGGGCTGAAGCTGGGACCAGCAATAAAGCTATGTTACTACATTGAAAAGCTTAAAGAAGGAAAATATAATTGAAAAAAAGTATCAGTTTAGATTGGACATAATTCTCAGGTGTACTGATAACATTTTAATTTAAAAGTAGTTTTCTTAGCAATTTTTATTTCATAGAAGATTCCTATAAAAATGGTTTGTCAGAATTGCTGAATTATATTAACAGTCCAGTCTGTTTCTTTAAAAGCCATTTAACATGTTAGTATTAGCATACTCAAATTAGCAGTTCATTTGTATCTTCTTGTTTTCATTATATATTTTACAAATATACTTCATGCAGTAAGCAGAAAAACTTGATTTGGATTAATCTTTATATTTAGAACCAAAACAGCTAAATCCCAAAGAGGAAAATATTAGAGATTTAACAACTTTTATAATTCAATCCTTGAGAATTTTTCCTCAGAAGAAAATTTAAAGATGTACCTGTAGCTATCATTTCTTTCTCAGATATTTTCTCTCTGATTTTACAGTGTTCTGTTCATGTTTTAAGAATTCCTAGAAAAGGAATAGCCATATAAATTATTTTCCTTCCTGTTGTTTGTTCTTCTAAAGTTGTATTTGTTCATATTTAAAGGGAAAAAGCAAGCTTATAAGCATTCATAAAGTGTTCTTACTCATTTTTATAATTTTTAGAAATAAGACTGTTAGAATGATCATTTTGTGCAGGTCTTTATACTATAGGAGTGGTTTGGATAGAGTAGGATTAAGTTTTTTCACAAAAATACATATATTTGCAAACCTATATTTTTGCTAAGCTTAGACATTAACTAGGCATTTCACATATCTCTGTATCTGTGTCCAAATTTTTAAGAGATATATATTTTATTGTTTATTTCTCATATATATACTATTCTATACTTGTAGGTATACACAAGTAAATGAACTTAATATGGCACTTTGCACTGCCACAGGGGTAAGAATGTGCTATGAATATAGTTAGATGTTTTTATTCCACAAAAATCTGTGCATCATTTGCTGTCACCAGTACTGCTCAGCTTGCTCTTCAGGTGATAAGAAACAATGTGTAGATTGCTTTCCATGCAGGGATGTTCTCTACCCTATGCAATGTTTCTTACTAATTTGCTTGGTTTTGAGCCATTTATTCTGCTACATTTTAGGAAATACATCAGTTCTGACTTACTATTTTGGTCTTTGAAAGTTAGAACTTTCAAGGGGAAAGGGTGCTATATGTTTATTGTTACTACTTGGTGAAGTATTAATAAGCTATGAAAATTGGTTATAAAAGTATTAGCCATCTGTTTTAAATGCCAAAATGTTCACCAGGGAAAGAATGTACATTTTCTTTCTAGAAAACTAAGTGTACTTTAGATAAGAATGCAATTATTTGAAGGATCAGTTTGTCTGTTACTCCTTATGAGACTAGATTCTCAAACTTGATCTTCTTTCAAATTGTTTGTATGAAGATACTGTGCCCATTTAAACAGTCCTCAGGTTTATATAAATGCTGTGTTTTACAGTTTTCATGTTTTAAAATATAATAAAGTCAAATAGCTACAACAGTGTCAAGGCCTCGGGTTTGATTTTACTTTCACTGCATTACATTAATGTGTGAATTTGTTGAACTTAAAAAAGAGCCCCTGTGACAATGGTGTTATTAGGAGGAAAAATACTGCTTTTTCAAGCAATGGAATGGATTATACTTGGAGTTGCCTGAGTAAATGAATAAATGAAATAGGTTTAAATTTCTGAGGCTCTTAATAGGCCTGATGCTGGAAGACGTCCCCTGATTCAGAAAATGAGGGAGGTTGTGGGGTAGACAAGACATACAGGACGACGGGCCCATCTTTAAGAATGTATGGCAGTGTTTTTCACTTCCCTGTTGTTCATAATTTCAGTAAGTTAAGGATAAACATTTAGATACCTTCCTAGAGATTCCTTGTTATTAATAGTTAAGGTATTTAGCATAGAGAAACAATTGTTCTTCTCAATGTGATTAAAAAAGAAACTAGTTCATACCCATTAGGGTGACTATTTAAAAAACAAAAGGGAAAATAAGTGTTGATGAGGATATGGAGAAAATGGAACCTTTGCACATTGCTAGTGGGAATGTAAAATGTTGTACCTGTTGTGGAAAACTGTATGTGTTATGCCAATTCCACTTCTGGGTATACAATATGTATTTAAATAAGAAAAAATTACAGGAAGAGACACATTGCCATTAGTACCCCTCAAAATTCTCTCCTCTTGCTTCAAACGCAATTATCCTGTCATTCTTGCCACTTTCTAAAGCAGTTCTGGAAGTCTTTTTTTGAGTGTCTGTCTGTGCTCTTGTGGCTGCCTTGATGTCCTCCATCCATTCAAAATGTTTACCTTTCATGGTCATTTTGACTTTGGAAGAGCCAGAAGTTGCATGATGTCAGATCCAGTGAATAAGGAGATGACGACACACTGTAATGTTTTTATCAGCCTGCCTTTCCAATGGATGGCACTTGGCAGCAACATTCACCATAGGTTTTTTTTACTGCATCTGATACCACCACTCATGAATGAGGACTTCCAAAACTGCTTCAGAAAGTGGCAAGGATGACTGGATATGTTCAAAGCAAGGGGGGATATTTTGAGAGATGTTAATGGCGATGTATCTTTTACAGTAATAAATTTTTAAAATTTAAACATTCACCATAGTTTTCAATCACCCCTTGTATCCCCAAAGGAATTTAAAGGCAGAGACTCAAGTACTTGTACCCAGTGTTCAGTGTAGCATTATTCATAACAGTCAAAAGGTAAGTCATGTCCATCATCAGATGAATGGATAAAGTGTAGTATATACATAAAATGGAATATTCAGTCTTTTAAAGGAATGAAATTCTGATACATATGGCAACATGAATGAAATAAGCCAGACACAAGGACAAATACATGAATACATTTACGTGTGCTATTTGGTCAAATTCATAGACAGGAAATAGAGGTTACCGGGGTTTATGGTGAGAATTGAGTTACTGCTTAATTGGCACTGTTTCAGTGTGAGTTGATGAAAGAGTTCTGTACATGGGTAGCAATAATGGTTACACAGTATTATGATTATACTAATTGAATACATAAAAATACTTAAAATGGTAAATTTCATGTATGTTTCATGGTAAATTAGTGTGAAAGAAGGTAAAGGTAATAGGTGTAAAACAAATACATTCCTTTGTCAGCAAATACTGTAAGGAGTCCTGTTGAAAAATCACAAAGAATTGGAGAAGCAGATACTAAGATAAATTGCAGTGTGACAGATCTGCCGTCCTGTTGAATGAAAATACAGATGTTTCAAAACATGTCAGCTTCTGGTGGAATCTGAGGGTGCTTTTCTGGAAGGAGCAATTTGTACTTTTTCTAAAGATGCCTCTTCACTTCTCACACTTGATGAATTCCTCCAAGTACAGTGGTTATTTCAGAGTTATCACCACTCTCAATTTGGTTATTCCAGTATTATCTCTCAAGTATTTTTCTTTTAAGAAAAAGGGATTATTTATGTCATTTTTTCATTCTTTTTTCTCATATGTAATCCTCTTTCACATACTTAAAAAAGGTCGTCCATGGCTCACATTTGCCAGTATACCTTGTTCCTCAAATTCACAAGTCTCCAAGGAGAGTCCACTAAAACCAGTATTACCATAAATGATGTTACTACCAAGTGAATTTCCATATATCAGAAAGTTTCAGTTTTCACCTTGGTAGTTTACTTACTTTGTGAAAGCCTGACTTTAGCCTTAGTTAACATAATTATCCCTTGACATATGTATAGCATTTCCATCATTGTCACATGATATGCCAGGCTGGGTTTTAGAATTGGAAATTCTGAATATATCCCCACACACATTTTTCACCTTGTTAAAGTTCTTTTAAGAAACTGTCTCCTATGGCTGGGGATTTAGCTCAGTGGTTCCGCCGCCAGCCTCGCAAGCACAAGGACCCAAGTTCAATCCCCAGTACCAAAAAAAAAAGAAAGTGTCTCCTAGGCAAGGTATTGGAGAAAATGATGGGTTAGGATATGTTAAGCTGTGGTTAACAAAAGACCCAAAGTACATTAGGTCCCAAATAACACTATCAACTTATTTTTCATACTCCTCTTCCCTGGGGTGATTTGGGGACCCAGGCTCATTTGGCTTCACTATCTTTGATTCCATGTGCCATGGCACACATCTGTTCCCAATCTGTTGGCTGTAACTCAGTCTCATGGCCACTCCTTACTATAACAATGCCTGGAAAAAGTGTTCATAAAAATGAAGAAGTGGGTCTTTGATAGATAGAGATCTTAATAAGCATTCATCATGATCCTAAGAGCAAATAGTCCATAAATGCCTCCTATAAGCCCGACAGTTTCTTCATTACAATCCTCCATCCCCATTGCACTTACATAACCTAGCTCCCCCATCCTTTCCTGCTTTTATCTTCTCCATCAAGGAACCCTGGTTTAGCCAATGGGTTGAAAGCGGACCTGAAGAGCACCATATCCAAGCAGCTTTACAATGACAATGAATAAATCATTCATTTTCTACCAGGAGAGTGGTGTGGGCTAGATAGTAGTAGCTCCTTCAGTCCACAGTTCAGAGGCAAAAGGCATGTGGGACTGGACCAAAGCCATTCATTCTCTCATCTTCGTATCACATGAGCAAGAAATAAATGTGAGTAAGTCGCCGGGATTTAAGGACTTACTATCACAGCTCACAGACACGGTGAAATATAACATACTGTTCTTGACATCACCTGCTTTTTTTTTTTTTTTTTTGGTACCAGGGATTGAACTCTGGGCCTTGCAATTGCGAGGCAGGTGGCAGAACCACTGAGCTAAATCCCTGACCTTAACCTGCTTATTTGTATATCGGATGTCTTCCCCAACTGGAGTGAACACTTCATGAGGACAAATAGTTTTGTTCACATAATTCCTACTCTCTCCAGTATCCAGATTGGCACTTAGGATGACTCAATCAATTAAGATGTTTTGTGTGTCAGAATCCCAGGAATCAGATTTAGGTTGATAAAGTTAACCAAACACATACTAAGCCTTTCTGTAAGTATGAAAGCTAATGACATAAATTGCTATTTGGCCTTTAGATTATTTTCTGGTTGGTTTTACTTATTGTTTTACATATGTACTGCCAAGCAGTAAAACTACAGTAAGAATGAGTGAGTTATTGGAGAAGAAAGTGGCTCTGAAGAGAACTAATTCCCACTCATCCGGTCTAACATAATATCTTGCTAGCAGCCCCTGAATCTCACTCATGTCTTCTCACTAAATACCTGGAAGAAAATGAAAATGCATGATACCCCTGAAAACTAAGATGGGCAGGCAAGGCAAGCTGTTGCTAGTCTGGGAAATAATTCCTACTAACTCAAAGGTCATCAGTGCTAGACTGAAAAAATGCCTACATCATCAATTCTAAGTATCCTCTCCCCTCACAACTGAACACGTCTGGTTTCTTGATATTTTGCAGTCAATGGCATCTTCAGATTCCATGCAGAACAGTCAGTGGGTTGGTCATGCTTCATGCTTCACCTTGTGCTTTCCCTTGGGGTTATGCCAATTCCAAAAAACCCAGTAAGCCCTAGGCAAAGAGGCAGAGAAGACTGGAGCAGTTCTTAGTAGTGGAAGCAGGGGGCTGTGCATCTAGACCCCACAGACAAAACACTGATAGTGATAGCCAAAGCAAGAAGAGCCCTCATGGGAGCGAAGGCTGTGCTGTGTGTTTTGTGTTTTTTTTTAACTATCAAAAACTAGAAAGGATTAGGAGAAAATGTTCTCATAAAGGTACTAAGTATGGACAGGCAACTCAGTCTATAAAAGGAAACAAGAACTTGGCCTAGTGGCACATGCCTGTAATTCCAGCACACTGGGAGGCTGAGGCAGGATGATTCCAAGTTCATTCCCAGCCTGTGCAATTTAGAGACTTTAGCGACCCTGTCTCAAAAAATGAAGGGGGAGGGGGCTGGGATGTAACTCAGTGCAGATGTTCTGGGTTCAATTCCCAGTACCATTAAAAAGGTAAGTAGGTAAGATTCCTCAGGAAGCTTACAGCCTGGGAAAACAGCCTTAAAGACAGAAATACCAGGATGATTTATAGGGGTACAAAATGTGGCAAGGGTGAAGTGGCCATAAGAGATACACCAGGGGACCTTTATGAGGTGGTGAAGATGATGAACAGTTTTCCTGAGAAAGTGTTTCCACCAAAACCTGAAGGATGACGGGAGCAGGGCTGACAGGAAGTGTGCTTGAAGGCCAACCCACTGAGCAAGAGTGAGCTATCAGTGCCTACCTATATCTCCTCTAGTAGGTGTGTGGGATTTTTTTAGGAAATATATACATCCAGTGATCTTTTTATTGAAAACCTTTTATCCTTTGTCTCTATGGTAAACTTATTTGTGTCTGCATCATTTACTGAATATCTTCCCAAGTGGTAAAAAAGAAAAAAAAATCACCTTTATCCTTAAGGAAAATTCTACAAAAACATGAAAATGTTCAACTTAAGTAGTAACTAAAGAAGTATAAATTAAAGCAGGATGTGTGTTCTTT